GACTATTTCGCGACTTTAGCCTTCAATAGTCGAAATGATTTCGACCATTTCGACCATTTCGGATATCCGAAATGATCTAATTCGACTTCATGTATAGTCTCCACAAAGCATTACAGGATTTAAGACATAAAAGTGATGTCAGCACTGCTCAAGATATCTATATTTTAAGGTTAGAAGACAAGGTTAATCAGCTTAAGAAGCAAATTAGAAAGATTACAGATAAAAAATTATTCCAAATAAATAGTTCACCAATGGCACTAACAGATATTTTAAGGAATATAGATACAGCTTTAGATCGAGTTGAAAGATATATTGATGGGGATATATCATTTAATCCAAAAAATACTTTGAATGGAATACGGATCTTAGTAACAACTATCCGAAAGCATATGGAAAGGCATGTTCAGGATAATGCAAACTTACAAGATTTGCTTAATACATCCCATGGGCAGACCAATAGGACTATGAATGATATGACAAATTTTAGAAATGATTGTCTTCGAAATATACAAATGATGAAGCAAGCATAGAGGGATAAAAGATAAGCCTGACAACAAAGAGATGATGAAATCAATAATCTTAGAGATACAGTATGTGAAAATGTTTATGAAAAATGTTGGTGGAAAAGAAAATACACTGCATGTATTCAACAGGCTCAAAATTAAAAAAGATATTATCGTTAAAGCAGAAATGATATAGGATTGCTAGAATATAATTGAGATCGACTATTTAACCGATATCAAAAATGGAAGACAAGGGAATTAAATTCGAGACAAAATATTTTGAATTTATAAACAATCCTCCAAGAAGGTCACTGTACATGAAATATATCAAATGTTAGCCCTAGCTCTCAGACAAATGTCCCAATATACAGGGCAATATACTCCAGATGAATACATTCAAAAAGTTACAAATGTTTTTGAATCTGCCAGGGCTGTAATCATGACCGCCAATATTGCTAATGCAAATACTTTTGTTGATGCTGAGAAATGTGATATTTTAAAATCTAAGATGGGAGATAAATTTTCCCCAGTACCAACAAATGATCCCTATACAGCTACTAATCTCGCTATTAATATATCTGCAACATTTACTGTTTGGCTTCGGCATAAAAATCGTGAAGTAACAGCTGGAAATGAGGAAATAACTTTACAATCACTTATACAAGAAAGGTTTGACACAACAGATTTCCTAGACAGTTATGAAGCTAGGGTACAAAAACATATAGTAGGTTTTGCTGATAATCAAGTATTACCAGCATTATATACCCATTTACCTCCAGATCTTTATAGTAATATAAAAATGTATATAGCTATAAGAGCAGGAAGAGGTGTAAATCTAACTGTAGATGATTTCTTTCAAAATCTTAAAAAATGCTGGGTCAAACGTCAAATCAGAGTAAGTATTTTTACTCAGATAAATATAGGTATGCAATCCCAAATTCCATCTCCCAACTAGGCCTTAACTATTCATCCGCAAAAAGATTTATTAGCTGTAAGAATTAAAGCACTTGAATTTACAAAGGAATTGGCAAAGGATTTAGATTACATAGGAATAGCAACAGATGTTGATACTTTACGTCTATATATTTATAACAATCTTATAAGAAGGTTAGGGCCTAAAACATCAGCATATAATAGAAGGAGCCCCTTCTCAGAATTAGAGGTTAGAAATACAAATGCTACAAAGAAAGCTGTTAGAAAGGTAAACAAAAGCACCAGTTAAACGATTTGTTCGTCTTTGCTCAGTCTGTAGAAAAGCTGACCATATAAAGACTAATTGTCCTGAAGTTAAGACAACTAAAAAGGTTAATTATGTATACCAAAATGCTGAGAAAGATCCGATCACAAGAGAGCCTCCTGATGATTCTGAAGAGCCTGACATAGAATACATACTTGAGGAGGAAGTAGAAGAAGATGTCGAATATGTTGATGATGATGATTCTACTCTAAACACCTCTGATTGAAACTGTTATGCTATAAAAAAAAAGTGGTGCAAAGTGCAGTACCTATGAAAAAGATCCACAAGAAGGAATCCCCTATTTCCAAATCTTGTAAAAAAGTAGAACGCTCAGCACCTATAACCATGATTATAGATTATGTTTTTCTAATAGCCTTAAAATCTATATTATCATCAGTTATACAACATATACCTAAAGAAATTCTTAAGGAAGGTTCTCAATATATTAATACAATATACTCCAAATTGAAAGATCGGATTCTAAATACGGCTATGAAAGATGATACTGTTAAGGAAATGAAAAATGCATAGGAGCTAGTCACTGACAAAATTAAAGATGTTTTACATCCACTATTTCAAGCCATAAATATAGAGCAAAAACCTCTTATTCAAGTCCCAATAGAAGAAAATCTAGATGAACCCATGAATGATATGCAAAGCACCTCCCGGCTAATACCAGTAGATTCTAATACGCTAAACCATGCTATTAAAGCATATGCTCAACGTCATTCAGCTGAAAAAAAAAATAGTCAAATATATTGGCCCAAGCCATTAGAGATAAATTTTTTACAAATAAAAGATGCTGATGATGTTGTGACTATTTATTGTAAAATAGGAGGTTTGATCATACCTTGCACAATGATTGATACTGGTTCTGATTTTTCCATATTTTCGGATAATATTGCTAAACTTGTTAAAGAGCTTTTAGGTATTAAAATTAATAGGAAAAAAATTCATAGACTTAATGGAGTTGCAAGCCAATCTATATCATTCAGCACTATGGATAATGTTCCCATAACAATTGGTTTTGGAGATAATATAGCATCTATCATGGATGATGCTTCTGTTTTACCTGCAGAAAAGAACTGTAATGGAAATGCTAAATCTTTAGTAATTCTTGATACTCAATGGCAATATCGAGCTGGATGGAAGCCTTTAGTAAAAGGTGAATTTAAAGCCATATGTAATGGAAAGACTATTACTATTCCTCTATCAGTTCACAAATCCTAGCGTAATATCTTTACTATAAAGAAGGAATCAGAACTTATAAAAAAAAACTAGATGATCGAACTTATATGTATTGTGGAAAGGAATTTAAATATCCTGCTAATCTTAGGCAACATTTTTTATGAAAAAACCCATACACAATTAAAAAATCCCATTCAAGCCTATACGCAGTTAAGAATTCCCATGTAAAGCCCATGCAAAGTTTATCAAATCCATGTTTAGAAAAAAATACT